TTTTTTCAAGACAGGGTTTCTCTGTGGTTTTGGAGCCTGTCCTGGAACTAGCTCTTGTAGACCAGGCTGGTCTCGAACTCACAGAGATCCGCCTGCCTCTGCCTCCCGAGTGCTGGGATTAAAGGCGTGCGCCACCACCGCCCAGCAAGGTATTTGTTTATAAGCCTAACAGAGTTGGAGGGAGAAGACATCAGTCAGAGGGTAATGACATGCAGAGTACACACTTCTAGAATCGTTCTAGAATTATTCCTGGTACTGATGATAGCAGCTTATAACCGTAACTCAACAGAGTAGATCAGGAATTCAAAGTTATCCTTGGCTATGCAGAGTTTGAGGCCAGCCTGGGCTACATGAAAAGTAGCTCAGTAAAAGAGTATTTACCTTGCTGGGTGATGGTGGCACACACCTTTAATCCCAGCACTCAGGAGGCAGAGGCAGAGGCAGATGGATCTCTGTGAGTTCGAGGCCAGCCTGGTCTACAGAGTAAGTTCCAGGACAGCCAGGGCTACACAAAGAAACCCTGTCTTAAAAAAAATTAATTAATTAATTAATTAAGATAGAAAATAGGATTTACCTAAAATGTGCAAGACTCTGTGGGTCCTGAGTTTTCTGGATGCTACTGGATACTAGGAAATCCTTCTTCCTCCTAGGTACAGCCTAAGGCCCCATGCATACCTCCCAACTTTAAAACTGCCTCAGCAGAAATTTTCAAATACAGCCAAAGTACCATTTTGGGTTTTGTTTTGTTTTGTTTGCCTGATTTCTCTGTAGCTTTGGAACCTGTCCTAGAACTCGCTCTGTAGACCAGGCTGGCCTTGAACTCAGAGATCCACCTGTCTCTGCCTCCTGACTGCTGGGATTAAAGGCATGCGCCACCACTGCCCAGCTGTTTTTTTTCAAGATAGGGTTTCTCTGTGTAACAGCTCTGGCTGCCCTGGAACTTGCCAGGAACTCGCAGAGATCTAACCTGCCTCTGCCTGCCGAGTTCTAGAGCCTTATGTATGTCAGGGTCATGAGCACCATGACTTAGGTAAATTAGCTTTGTCAGGGGAGGCCCAGCAGCAGCCAGAGCAGCTTTCCTCCCTTCCCACAGGACAGTACACGAAGGGTGGAGATCCATGTTTTCCACATGTGGCGTTTCTGCAACTTTGCCAGGATGAGGAAAGTGGCTGACTTTCTCCTTCTCCAGTCCACCTACACCTATGTGAACTGGTGGTCCGCAGCCCAGAGCCTCGTTATTGTTCTTTCTGGGGTCCTACAGCTGTATTTCTTGAAACGTCTTTTCACCAGCTCAGCTGCTGACACGAAGCTGAGATGCTGATATACGGCATCTTTGTCAACGCTTCGGTCAAATCAGCTTTTTTTTTGGAGGAGAAAAATAAATCAACTTAAATCTTATTTGTGTTCATTAATAAATGCAAGTGGTAGTAAAAAAGTGAATTCTGATGCTGATTATTCTAAAATATGTATTATATGCTAAAATGAAATACCAGTTTTTGAGACAGTTTCAGTATGTAGCCTTGACTGGCCTAGAATTTACTGTGGAGATCCAGCTGGCCTCAAACTCAAGAGATTTCACTTGTGTCTGCCTCCCCACTTGCATCTGCCAAGGTGTGTACACCACCCCCACTGGAAAATACCAGCCTCTACACAGCTGTCCCCTCACCTTCAACTCCACTCAGAAGGTAATGGAAACCGTGGAAGGGGGTTCTGAAGATGGAGCTCAGTCGACGGGGGCCCTGCTTCGCGGGCAGCGGCTTTGATCCTAGCACCAGATGAACGAGTGGGGCACACAGGTGTGCACTATAGCACACCAGAGGTGGAAGCCCTAAGATGAGCCTCCACAGTTCAGGACCGTATCTCAGAACACGTTAGAAAGCTCTGAGAGGGAGCTGAAAGCGATGGGACAGAGCAGAGCTTTGCTGAGCGGCTGTACGGAGTTTTCATCTATCAGATGGGACCGTGACGGTCAGCATTCCCTCCTTCCTTGTCCTAGGGACTGGACTCAGCATCAAACCTGGTGGCCTTGGTGGCACATGCCCTATCACTCTTCCAGTCTACCCAATGAGCTATCTTGCTGGCCCTACAGGGCCTTTCCGTGGTTGAAAATATTTTAAAGGAAATAAAAATATTTAAAGAAAATATTTTAGAGGAAACTAGGTGCAGTGACACCGACCTACAATACCATCGCTTGAGAGGGTAAGGCAGACTGCCTGACTACTTAGTGTTTCAGACCAGCTTAGATACAATGTGAGACCCTGGCTCAAAGAATAAAGATGCTGGGTGGTGGTGGTGCCCGCCTTTAATCCCAGCACTCAGGAGGCAGAGGTAGGTGGATCTCTGAGTTGAGGCCAGCCTGGTCTACAGAGCAACTTCTAGGACAGCCAGGGCTAACAAATCATTTCAAAAAAAAAAAAAAAGAAAAAGAAAAAAAATGTTCTGAGCCCACTGTAGCATTCACCCATTTATTCCAGCACTTCAGAGGTAGATGGTTCTTTGAGTTCAAATACACAGTAAGACCCTGTTTCAATTAAAAATAACAAAAATGTTTCAACACAGGCAGGGAAGGTGGCTCTGCAGTTAAGTCTCTTTCAGAGGACAGGAATTTGGTTGTTTTTTTTTTTTTTTTTTTTTTTTTTTTGGTTTTTT